TTCCGGGAGAGCTGCTGTTCCCCAACGGAGGCAGGTACCGCGCGGTGTGGCACCGCGGGGTGCCCTCGCAGGTACCGGGGGAGGGGGGTCCCCCTCCCCCACGGCCCCCGAGGGGCTCCCGGGGCTGTGGGCCCGGCCGTTCGGCCCTGCCCGTGCTGCGTCCATCCATCACCGTCATTAACCTGTGCCTGATCACCGTTTGCAGGGGGAATACACTTTTGCAGATGGCCTCGAATACAAAGATAAAAAATGGCATTACTGTGACGGCTACGACAGGAGATTTTACACAGAAATCTGCTCTGGGCTGAAACCAGCAGGTACTGAATCGTGTCTGCGGTCCAGAGGGTCTGGAAGGAATTAAACTAACAACTCTGCTTAAGAAAGATTAATTCGGCTACATGAGTAACACGGAGCAGAAATGCTCTGGCTAATTTCAGGGCCCGGCCATCGGGGCTGCCAGAGGAAGGGTGACCCCCCCTCCCAGCAGCAGCACCCAGAGCTGGGCCCTGCTGCACCCTGCTGTGCTGCCCACAGCCTCTGGGTAACCCTTTGACACATCCCACCCCCCCTGCAGTGCCAGGCAGCTTTCAGTATAGAGGAGTTGGGGAAAAAACAATGAATTTACAACCAGAACATCACATGAAGTTTAAGTGCATCTGCCCCATGTAGCTTTTTAGCAGATACCAAAAGAAACATTTGTGTCCAGCCTGTGTTTTTGCTAAAGACTTAGAATATTATTAATGGTCTGTAGTGAAAAGATTTATAAGGACCAAGTGAGTAAAATATGTAACGTCATACAGAAAATACTCTTCTTTATCCACAGAATGTTTCAGCAGTGACGTGTAGCTGCTCTGTGAGGCCAGCAAGACCCTCCTGGCCCCACTTTGGAGTTCGGGATCATATTTGTAATGTTAGCTTAGTGGGCTGGATCACAGGGCCATGAATGAGGAAATCCAAGTGATATCTTTCTACCACACACTTTTTTGCCTATTTGCCATTTTCATTTCCACCTCAAAAATCAGCAAAATGTTTTATCAAGGCACAATGAGGGGAGGAGGCACAATAAAGCAAGCCCCCCCTTTTTTTTTTTTCTTCAGGCATTTCCCAGCTTACAAATCTGGATCCTCCCAGAAAGATCCCAGAAGGATGTTACGACTGTGGGGATGGATTCTATAATCCTGAAACCAGAGTTATTATTGACTACAAATTCAGGTTTCTGAGAAATGCAGGTATGATCAACTTCTGCAAGATGAACTAAAACCAGTTTATTTGTAACATCATCTAGGATGCACGATCAAACCTAAAACCTAAAAAGCCCATTATTTGATTCTGTTATCACTGAGCTAAAATATTTTTTACTTACTTATTTCTATCAGTGATTTATGAATCCCCAGAGTTGCTTAAATCACATTTTGCAAAATGACAATGAAGTGTTTCCAAGCAGATAGGAACGAATGGATTTTATTACTGTTTAGTATGTTGGTCTCAGGAAAATCTTCAGTCTCTTCCACGATGATCTCAAGCAAGGGAGTGGTTGTGAGGTGAACACCAGTGGCCCTGGAAGATAATAAACTCCACCTGGTGACCCAGCAAAGTGCTTAAGCATGTGCTCATCTCTACACATTACAATAGTCCCTTTTGTTGAAAGGAGCCTTAGGGCTGCATTTAGGTGCCTTACTGAGCAGGGAACTTGTCCCCTTGTAGAGCTGTAGCATTTGGCAAGTGTTGGATCTTGTGAACAAGTCCTCAAATGAATGAACTTTAGGGCAAATTAGTTCTCATCAAGCCAAAAGAGAAACTTTTCAAATTAAAACCACACAGAAGATCCCCAAGCAGTTGACACTGGAATAACTCAAACGTCTAAATAGCAAGACCTGGTGTTTCAGGACAGAACATTTCATTTTCAGTCTGCTCCAGTTTAACAGTTTTGTTTCTTAGAAACTCCATTTTTCCAGCAAATTTACTATTTGTTGGAAAAAAAATTCTGCTCAGCTCTACTTTCAAGAGCTTTCCTAAGTACACACTGTGATATTGGAGGAGGGAAGTGAAGGGGGGGTTAAATGAATTGGAGATACCATCTGCTATAAAATATACCCTATGATACATGGCCTGTTTTATAAACGTTGAATAAAAACTAATCTAGATTATTACAAATGGCATTGATCCAAAATACTGGAATGCAGTGGGCCTACTGATGAGGAAGATAAGCAACATGCTTTCCAAAAACACAGGAACCTACACAGATTAGTACAGGAGGGAACGCCTTGGAATTCAATTTATTGTTTTTTAATCTGTTCTTTGAACTCATTGTCCTTGATGACATTTATCTCAAGCCCTACAAATTATATCCATCAATATTGGCTGGGCAGAGCAGCACAGCAGGAGGTCCCAGGGAGCTGCTGGAGATGGGCTTTGTGGGGCCCTGGGCACAAAGTTAGAACTTGTTGATGTGAGGGTGAAGAAGGAATGTGGCATGTAGGCCAGACCCTTCCTCTCCAGAACGTGAACACAATTGAAAAACCCGGCACTTGTTCAACATCAGAGGAACTCTCACCCCCCAGGAGAGATGATTCAGGGCACAAGGCCACTGCAGTGAAAAAAATAAAAATAAAAAGGAAAAAAAATGTAAAAAAACCCAGCTGTAAGCAGAAGAAACTGAGGAAGAGGCTGGGATGACAGGGAACAGATCCAGAATTACTCCATTATAGGTTGGGCAGGAAGGAGCAGGAAAACCTCCAGGCTTCCAGCCAAGTCTTGAAAGCATCAAAAGCAGATGGTAGGAAGCATTCAGGAAGTTCTTACAGCAGCTTGACAGGTTTACCAAAGTGACACCATCTTCCTCAGGGCTGGCAGCAGGCTCTCAGAATACTCCAGTCCTCACCTTTCACCCTGGCCCTGTTCTGAAGCCATTTCTGATTGTTTCTGGGCTGTTTGGGCAGGAGGGGGAGGAAGCCCTGGCACCGCCCTGCCCACCAGCAGCCAGGTGCCCTTCCCAAGGAGGGAAAACAGACACCACTGGGAACCTCCAACACTTCTTGGTCAAGCTGAGAGTGCCTGGAGCTCGGGGGAGGCTCCTGCTGCATATGGGGAGACTCGTGTTTGCCAGCGTGGAGTCTGATCCTCATGTGAGCTCTCTGGAAGAGCCGGGCAAAGGCCCATCACAAGAACATAATCAGGCCCAGGGAATGAAATGACAGCAGCAGTTTTGTTAAAGGTTTTTATCTAGTAACGTTTTCCAAATTCTCATTACGATCCTGCAGCTATTACCCCATCCCTAAACCTCAGTTTCCTTGGGGATGCTCAAATTTCTTTTGATTCTCCATGTGCTCTTCAATCTTTTCTTTTTTTCCAGTATTGCAAAGTACACAGAATTGAACATATAAAAAAGAGTGGGAATGCTCATTTGTAAGAAGAGATGTTGTTTATTTTGAACAGATACTAGGACTAGACTCCTGTTTCACTAGTATTGCTTTTTTTCCCCCTTTCTTTCCAGAAATAAGACTCCTGGCACCTTTGTAGCACTGTTTGGTCAATAGAAAGATGGGAAGATTTCCCAATTTTTCAGTATGATGTTATGCTTAATGCAAAGCAGGAAGGCACAAGAAGAGCAATGACATCCAGGTTTTAGGACCCCAGAATGTCAGGGAAGCCCATAGCTTTCAAAGAGAAAATACCATCAAAGTATAAATTTTGATATGCTGAGATGGAAAATATTACAGTAGATTGCCTGGGTCACCTCTCTTTTGATGAAAAGCAAAGATACCTCTGATTAAAACTGCTCTGTTTCTCCTGTGGTTCTTCCAAGGAGGGGTTAAATAATACAAACCATGCTTTTGCTCTTTGTAATATGAGAATATTTGTTTTACAACTTTCATATTCCATCCTCAGGTTTAATTAGCATGTGTGTGGTGCACGGGGTTGCTCTCTGTGCTGCAGTCAATAATATTGCCTGAAATAAATGCATCTGGTCACACAGCATCATTAGCAGGAGGACACAAAACCTGCCCTTACCCTAAAAGCTCAGTCAGGTAACTGAATTAACATGCATGTTATCAAGAGCAAGATTAGGCCTGGAAAACCAGGACAATTGTCTACTTCAGAGGAGAGTTTTTGATGTTGCTGCAGTTCCAAGCCAGCCAGCAATCAGCTTAGGATTTCTACAAGCCTGAAAGTCTTGTAAAAAGCAGCAGGAAAAATCCTGCTGCTTCAGGGATCATTATGAGCTGAAAAGGTCAAGATTCAAGAACACTATTTTATTATAGTTTAGACAAGTCTGGGGTTAGAACAGCAGAGGTTCCTTGGTTTTGAGGCAAGGGTGCAAAGCCATTTTTATGTTAAGCCTCAATAATCACAGACTAACAGTTTCTTCCTCCTGTTACCATGGGCTGAAGGTTCTCATGCCTGGTCTGAAAGAACATAGAAGCAACATTTTTTGGAAAGTCAGCAGTGATGTGTTCATCCATTTCAGGTTCATCCAAGTACTCAAATCCATGAGATAAATCTACATTTAGACTTTTTTCTCTTACAACCCAGATCTGACTTGCACCAAGTGCCTTTTGAGAAATGCAGACTTCAACTGCTCTGAAAAATGGAGTTGAGAACCAGAACCACAATCACTCCATAGCTTCACAGGCCAATATTTCTGTACCTACCCTCATGTACCCCAAACACATGCAGATGTTTGCGTGCTCTGTCTCATAAACAACTGGAGAGTTGGGTGTGGGATGAAGACCTGGCAATTTTTCAGGCCTGGAATATTTCTGGAAGAAAGACAGCAAGTTGAAGCTCAAGTCGACTGCAGTGCAGGCAAAAAGATTGACTGCACTTCAGGATCACGCACAGAGCTTTATTCCCTCTTCTTCTTTGAAATTGCCCATTCTGCTGGTGGAGGGAGGGGATGAACAGTCTGATTCCAGGCCAGTCCCCACTCGTTGCCTAAGAATGCAGGAGTTGTTTTGGCAGATGCCCTTTGCAGAGGAAAGCCCCAGCAATCCACATACAGAGGGAATATAGTATTTTTGTTCAAATGAATTTAGCTTCCCATAGATTTAAATGTCTACTTACGAGGCAGGACCATTTAATCTTTTGTACATTTGTTTCTTTTTTATTTGACTTAAGATACTGAATTTAGATGAGGTTTAGTTCCTACATATTGAAACTCTTAAAAGCTCTTCAAATAATTGTTCTTTGGATACTTGTTAAGCTAAAGAAATCAGTTTTGATCGGCAGCAAAAGTTCATGCTATTTTAAGTGCAATGCTATAGCTATTTTCTGTTGTATATTTAATCATTTTGAATTATATGTCATGTAAAAGATTTTAGCTCTGGGGCATTTGCCAGATGGCTGATTCTGCATTTCACACAACAAAAGAAATAATGTTTGTGTAAAGCTCTTAAAAATAGTTGGTAATCAGTATATTCTACAACGAATAGGATCCAGACCTGTTTGGAAAAAAAAACAACAGCCTTTGCAGAAATTAATTTAGAGGATTTAGTCTCTACCTCTGGGCTCTGAACAAAACAAATTGTGTCTATTGTTTGCTGATTTTGTAACATTTAACAAGTTAACTGAATTGTAAATTTTACTCATTTTTATGTGAAGTGCTGTTTATTGCAATCCATTGATCTTTTTCTCTTTACTTTGCCTGACAAACTTATTTCTGCAAACAGGGCTTTGTAAAACAGCCAGGGCTACTCTCCCTTCACAAAAGTGGAGCAGAGGGACACGAGTAGCCCTTTGTTTTTCTTGCTACAGCTGAAGTGCTTGTCCTTTTTCCTGCTAACTCCTCTTTCTGGCCTCTTTGATTCCCATTCCTCCAAAATACCACTGCAAAACATGTTTTCTCTCTCTGCCATGACACTCAGCTTGTTTTCTTTGCCCCTGAGGTTCTACACAAGTCCAGAGAAACTCGCCTTTTGGTCCTGTTTTCTCCATCTCCCATACACTTTTTTTCCTGAGTCTAATCCCAGGACTTGGGGTTTTTACCCATATTCATACTTCAGTTTTCTGGTACTTGCTTTCCAGACTCACTGCTTCTGTGATAGTCAGAAGATTTGAAAAATAAGAAATAAAGAGGAATGTTAGGAATTGCATTATCGCTCTTCTTGCTGGGTCTCCAAGTGTCACTCACCTACCACTTCCTATTTTTTTGTTAGATGGCTTTTGTCCTGAGGTGAGAGCTTGGGACCTAAATAATCTCCAGTGCCTAACAAATAAATGAGTTGAGGAGGCACATCGTAGAAGGAGGAGAGGCAGAACATGAGCAAGTATCAAACTGAGGACTGCTGAGTGGGCAGGGGAAATGACTGAGTATGAAGTGGAGGTGGCAGAAGGGAATTGATTCAACCTATAGAGAAGATCCCAGGCTCCTACGAGAAGTAGCTTCACCTCTATTCTTGCTCTATCCTAAACACTTAAAATATTGGACTGATTTTTCTATCCATTCTAAGCCCTGTCATATATTCTTATCTAGAAATACACTCAGTTCAGGCCCATCTGGGATGCCATTGCTAAATGCATCCTCATTATGTCCTTCTCGGTGTCTGAGATGGTTGGAGACTTCTCGTATGTGCAACCAAGAAAGTGTTTAGATTAAATTTGGCTCACATATTTTAGCCTAAAATGTTGCTCATTCAGTAAAATAGATGAAGACCCAATATGATTTATATTCAAGACTCTGGCCAACAACGATAACGTTAACGTGTGCATCATGATGTAAGTTACCACAGCCATTTCAGTAGCTGTTCATTTTGCAGATATATTGTTCCTTGTGGTTTCCTGATCTTAAAATACTGATAATTTTTAAAACTCTGAAAGTTTCAGCTCCAAAAGGTGACATGCCAAGAACAACAGCTTTGTTTGTGTGCTGGCCATCCTATTGTGAATCCATTAAGGAGGTTACACACAAGTCCTATAGGTGCTCATATTCAACTCTACCATTCATGTGAAAACAAGTTTTACAAGAGATGGAAAGTTCATTTGGGGGCCATTTTGGAATTACAGTAATTAAGAGTAAATGGAAGGATGAGAATTTGTGGGTGGAGGCAAAGGTTAATTGAGAACATGTTTCCCGTTTTCTTGCCAGCCTTGATGTTGGTGGGGTCAGGTGCAGTAAGGAAAGTGGTGCTGGGGACCCAGGGGGGACAGTGGAAGTGGAAGGGGTGTGCCAGGCAGAATCCATGCCTGAGATGCTATCACAGGGGGTGGTGATTGTGCAGTGGAAGAACATGATAAACTGCACGGCGGGTGACGGGAGGAGTCAGGCAGGCGAAAGAATGAAGTGATATTGTTGTTTACAATGAGCCGTGTGTGCTCGGCCCTCTGCAAACAGAGGAAACAGCTCTTGGTCAAGGATTGTCTATTGTAAACACACCCTCTTACAAGCCACGGTGGTGAAAAGTGGCTCTTCCCACACAGCTGTGTCCTTGGGGACACTGGAGCCGTGAGCCTGATTGTCCTGATGGAGGGACATGCCAGGGCACAACACGGGAGGATGTGCAGCCCTGCCTGGCAGGGCAGGAGGGAGCCAAGGGTCAGAGCTGTGGAGAGCATCAGGCTGCAGTGCAGACAAAGCCTCTAAGACACCAGGGACACACAGAGCTACTCACTGTGGAGACCTGACACAGAGTCAGACAAGGCTTTTAAGGTGAACAATGGAGGATTTTTCCCTGTATAAGCCACTCAGTATTGTCATTTCGATGCAGTACATCTTCCTGGGGAGCTCCCGTGGGTTCCTGGGAAAGTGTTGGTTAAGAGGGCAAACCCAGAGCCTACCAGCCAGTCCTGCAGTTTGCTGACAGGATCCACTCTGCATCCTGGCAGACACCAAAGTGTGCTGAGTCCTCACGAGTCTCTCCCAGCTGAGGTTTCCACAAGCAACACAGAAACGCAATAGCTAGGAGCAAATCATCCCAAACTTTGCAATATGCATTGAATATAGGAATTACAGTGTGTTTTCAAGTCGTCCCTTGGAAGCACCCTGGAGCAAGCCCACCCTGAATTTTCAGCTGTTTCTAATCCCAGTGGAGAGATAAATCTGGAGTGTGTAGCTGGGGAGTCTTTTCTGCCACTGCTTTTAGACTGAACTTTGGAAATTGGACAAGTGGCTTTGTTTTGCAGAGAGCAGAAACCCCCTGATTTCAGTGGGCTGCAGTCTGAGCTCCCTGTGGAATACACCAAACAGCCTTTGTGACAGACACCTGCTTGGACTTTGCTGGAGTTTGGAGCTTCCCCTAAAGCCACCCAAAGCAAGGAAGAAAATTGCAAAGCAAGATTTGTTGAGACCTAATTTTGAAATAGGCTAGTTAGAAGAACACAGCAGGACCAACAGATTTAGCTGGGTCTTATTTGCCTAAAAAGGCCCTGTCCAAACTGACCTGGTGACTGTGCAGACAGTGTCCAACCGTGGATCAGCAGGACTTGCACCCCTGGGTGCCCATAAGCTGAGGGCAGATGTTCTTCCTGGGGAGCAGGTGTGCAGGAGGCTGCCAGGGCTGGCTCCATGTGCCTCTGCCTGCCCAGTGAAAACAGCCAGAATTCATCACAAAAATGAAAGATACACTATCCCAGTTTGGGCTGGCTGAGGATCTGGCCCACAATATTCCAAATATATTTTGTGGGTGCTAGAAAACCAGTCTTACTTTTGATGGAGACACAAGAAAAGAATTCAAAAGAATCAGTCAGTACTGACATATATTCTTACAGCTCATCCATTCAAATCTCTCACTCATTTCAAGACTTCAGTGAACTGCCATAATTGCAATCATTATATTTCACTAACTTTGCACAAAATAACTCATTAACATCTAGTAATGGAACAGGGATACACCAGATTGCAACAAAAAAAATAATGAGACAAAGCTTTTTTTTTTTCTTTACCTTCAAATATCACCACAGTTCAGCCCTGTTTCAGCACAGGCTGCTCCAGGGATGTTTATCCTACTGAGGAAAATCTAACAAAAAAAAATTTATAAACTTTTAAAGATAAATTTGCTGACACAAAATTCAGCACACAACATGAAGAGCCCCATACCACCTAATTGTGCACAGGGTGATAATTTCCCACTGATTAAAGAGTTTGTATTTTTTTCAGATCTTTTTTAAAAGGGAAATTATTTCTGAAGGTGAAGATGTGCTTAGACAATCATATTAACATATTCAAACAATTGCAATTTGCAAAATAGTAATTACAACTCACTATCTGGTAGCATTAATCAAACTTCAAGGTTTAATTCTATTTCAAATATTGATGAAATGTGATTCTCCAATCTAACCCTGGTGTTGCAGGGTTATGGAAGCAGCCAGGGACAGAAAAAGAGGAACGTGTAGTTAACAAGCAGCTGCCACAAAGAGGGATCGGCATCTGTGATTTAAATTGTTAGCTGCACAGTCAGGTAGAGTGTAAAAAGGGTAGTCAAGAGGCTGTTAAGTCCATTGCTGCCAATTACTAACAATCAGGGAGGAGCTTTAAGACTTGTTCAGTACAATAAACCCAGTTTGTCTTGTTTCAGGGGTTACTACTGAAGAGGTTGCAGCTGCACTGATTCAAATAGCCCTAAAACTACAGTAATTATCAACCAGTCTTCTTTAGTGTATCAAAAGTATGTTTTACCATAGCTTAACTCTTTACATTCTCATATCCCCTGCCTCTCCTCACGCAGCTAACCCTGGAGCCATTCTCATCTCTGGGTTTGGGGTTCCTCTCTCTACACCACATCAATGCTTTTGTTTCCCCTTACTTAGAGCAAGGAGCAGGGTGTGCAGGGTGGATTGCAGCCCTAGGCATTCGCTTTAGGTTGTTTTTTGGAATATTGAGTCATTACATCTATTTTTCCTTTTCATACAAAGTAGAAAGTAACAGAACTCCTCCAGTGTTTCCATCTGATCCAACTGGCTGTGAGTGAATCAAACCTATGGACAGGGATCAGATCCCTGTGTGAACCCAGACAGCCTGGGATGAGCCTGGGGAGGCTGCAGTCCTTAGAGCAACCTGCCCTGGGTGCTTTCCTAGACCATGAAAAGCCAGAGTGCAGAAGGAAACAGCCTGAGCATCCAGGAATACACCTGAACCCTGTTACACACACAGCCAAGGCATCTCCTGCATCTCAGGGCAGATCCCGGGATGCTCCCAAAGCACGTGCTGGGGCTGCTCTCTGGAAAGCAGGAGGATTGATTCTGATGCCCAGTGAGTGACGTAGCTCTGTCCCCAGGTATGGCCTGCACAGGGGTGATGTAGATACAGCACATGTACCTGCTATGTGTCCCTTCACCATGGCAGGAATATACAAAGTTTTGTTTTCTTGCCATTATTCCAAACTCAGATAAACTTGGGGTTTTTTTAGGTAAGGTGGTTCCAGCTGGAATGGCAGAGCTGCCTGGGCTGGACAGTGGCTTCTCTCCCAGGGCTGCCCTGATCACACCATTCCCATGCTGGAACACCTCCTGCACAGAACAAAAACCAGTGCATTGATTATGGTTTTGATGCTGTTTTTAAGAAAGCTCAAGGACCACATTTGCTTTCCTGCTGCAGCCCCCAGGGGAATTTGCCTCTGGAAGG